AACACGCTAGTTTGTATTGCCCAGCTCCGCCTGAAGGGCAGCAGGGATGAAAAGCCTGCTGTCAGACAGAGAGGCAAGATAAGATGATTGTGAATATACGGAGATAATGGCGTACGCTTTCAGACAGTCCTTCATGGTGTTCGTCTGATCAGCTTTTTCAGAAATGTACAAATTCAACAATGGTAAGATGTATGAAAGGAGTTTCAGACACATTTTGCCGTCCAACAAGCACTCCAGACAAGACTTTTAGAGGAACTTAGCTTAGTCTGACCAATGTCCTCAAGTAATGTGTAGATTAAGATTCTCAGTCATCCAAGTCATGGTAACCTTTAGTGCTACATCATAGGCAACTGGACTTGCTTGAATGTCTTGAAGACGTTACCCCTCTCAACTGAGAGGCTTCTTCAGTTCTGAAGCAGTTCTGAACCGAAGAAGTCTAGTTGCTTATGATGCAGCACTTAAGGTCCTCAGGTTGTGGCATTTGAGTCGGCGTAGTTGGGTTTGAAGACCACAAGTTTGATAATCTGGAGATGTGTTAGAAAGAAGTGCTCTTAGCAGACCTCTGTAGCCCACTGCTCAACTCTGCTGCAGGCTCCAGGATGTATTTGCTGCTACGAGCATAACACATTGGAATCTGTGATTGAACTGTTGGTGGTCAAATTGTGGGTAATGTAGGCGCCAGGTACTGACAAGGACGAATGTGCAGAATAACAATTGGTGGTTCTGCGGCGTCAATTTTGAATATACCTTCTGTTTTTTTTTTTGTTTACTGAAGCCAGACAACAGGGCCCGTATATCAGTTATTGATATAGGTCGGCCGATAAAATCAGCGTGTTTATATACATTCATAATGTCTTGGTTCAGTAGCCCTGGTTCCTCAACACCTGATCGCAGCACTGGAGGCTGTGACCCCCAAACTCTGAGAATGGCTCCAGCAGATTCCAGGTACATCTGAGGTCTCTGTTCGTAAGAGCGTCGTCCTAGGAACAGCTAGGATATTGCGCAGAACCCTCAAACTCCCAGGCCTCTGGTAGAGGACCCGAGCTTGAGGAAGACACACCAACAACCAATATGGGATGTTTTTTTCTCCCTAATATCGACATCGGACCCAGAAGTCCAGTATCAGTTGGGCTTTATCAGACAATGTTAAAGGAGTGCGGCGCTAAATTAATGGAGCTCTCTTCTAAAGGCATCTGTATGCTTTGAACGAAGTGCTTGTCCGAGTTGTGTCCAACAATTTTTGTAACTATCTTTAACTGAGAATCTTCAAAATCCACTTCAGTGATCGGCCAGGTGTACATAAGTGAGAACATTACAAGCTCTCTGTGACTGGTCAATCCGTGTACAGCAGAGTTCATGCAACACCATGAACGTCTTTGAGGAAGGACTGTCTGAACGAACGAGCTGTGATCCACTTTAGTACGATTCATTGTGTCGAACCAACTAGTTTTGTTTCAAACATACGCCGGCCTCAAAATGTGAGTTTAGAGAGGTAAAAAGTGGGCAGGGATGGATGTGAGTTTGTTCACCCGGTATGAAGCTGTGAAACCGGGGAACCGGCTGCAGTGAAGCGTGGCCCTCGTAGCTCGGAGATATCTGTTAAGTCAATTAGAGAACATGGAATGACAAGAAAGAAAGGCAAGAAAGAATCAATGACAGAGAGACTGCTGTATAAAGACCACAAGAGATAAACAGCTGGGTGCAAACGTCTTTTTACAGTTAAGTCATCTTGGGTTTTGAAAGGAAAAAGTACAAGGCTGCTGGTGACTTTAAGACAGAATGAAGGTTGTCCCAGTAGAGGCATACCAGAGGTGCTGTTGAGTTGAGCTTTTGTTGTTGCTAATGTCCCAGAGAATGACACTGCTAATGGAATACACATACTATCCAGTCTCGATCCCACCCAAAGGCCCAGCAGGTCAAGCCAGGGCTTACTTAAAGGAATACTTTGAAATTCAGTTTACAGCTACCCCCCCCCCCCCCCCCCCCCTGCTGCCCCACAAACCCACATGGCTTCGAGAGATGAATCCTTGGCCCTGGTCTTCCCTGGCAAGCCCCAGTTTTCCCTCCTAGTTTGGCCACTTTTGTACACATTAAACATTTAATTCAGCATAGTCTGTCACCCTTTTTGTATTTAAAATAGCAGCGATATCCACTTTGCTTTCTTCGAATATCAGGACAGCTTTCTTCTTTTGTTTACTCCACGAGATATTTACAATAATACGTCACTATTCTGCCACTGCCGACCATTTCTACATATTTAAGAATACTTCATTCACAAGAACAACTCTGAACAGTGGAACTACACCGGTGGGTACATCACAACTTGCCTGCTTTTTGTCAGACTTTGGAGTTTTTATTCTCACCAAAGTCTCTCAAAGGATGACAAAGGAATCACAGAATAAAACCTGAAACAACTGATTATGTCACTTTCCCCAGAATGGATATGTTACATTAGAAATGTTTTGTACAGTTTAAAAAGCTACGGGATAAATGTTTATTTAATATAAGCAGATTCTGTCCTCAGAGATGCAACAGCACTTAAAAATGTTCATTAAATGTAAGGGTTTCTCCACTCAAGGTCCTCTTACTCATTTGCTCTGGAGCTTTTGGCTGACATGCACAGTTAAGTGGAGCTACAGTTACATCTCGACTAGGCCATTTAACTGGCCTACTGTCCTTGTCCCAGTATACAGGCACAGGAGGGGAATCATTTATTGACCCAAGTATGCCCGACTCTGCTACGATAGGTGGAGATATGCCCCCTTTCAGCTTGTTAGTACTGGACATTTTTCCGTTTTCCTCCCATCTGTGTATTTTAAAATACTCAGCTCTTTCAGCATGAACTGTGTCTCTGCATCCGTCTAAAAAGTCACAGCTCTGGATGTAGACATCGCCATGTTGTTACCGGCTTCTTCTGTTACGCATTTAATGCCTTCGACTTCTGGGTCAAAGCCCGCAGCCAGTTTGGGTCTGATTGACTGTATACATGCAGGTGGAATTCAACTTCCAATCACATTATCTGGGTGTGTTAGTCCGACTTTGAGAAATTCGATTTAGTAAGATTTCAGTCAGACTAACACGTTGACATGGATTTTCTGGCACGTTCAAACGTGACAGCAGAAAGGCCCAGATGTTTAGACGTTTAGTCCTTGATGGCCCAAGGTGCAGAATCAGGTAAAGTTTGAACATCCACAGTTTAATGCTAACTGAGCGACCCTCTGATGAAGACTATGTGATACAGCTGAAAGCTCCAGAACAAGCAAATAAGTGGACCATTATTGGAGACTGTTTTGTCAACTGCTGTTTCCATGTTCAAGAACGAACCGTCAGGCTCAAATTACTTTTCTTTCATGTGTTTCAATTTGATCTGGAGTGGTTTTGTTTGAACTCAGCGCTTTAAAAACTGATAAAAATGTAAAATAATTTCAGATGGACTTTAAGAAACCATGAACGGCAAACAAAAAGTGCTGTCTGCAAGTAACGAGCACTGAGCTTCCTCTGACTGGTAATCGTTGCCTTGCAAGAGGTGCATCATCACTGCTACTCTGGTTTTTGGTTTTACGTGACGTTTGTATGAATTTATCCACCTGTTTTTACACAATCAGTTACTGTAAGGGCAGCAGCTTCTTACACATCACAACCCTTCAAAACTTGGATGTCTTTGCTCCCCCCCCTCCTCTACATTTGAGCTTCTAGTCGAGGGAAATATGTATCAATGCATTTCCAACTGTGTTTAATGAGTGGGCATCGAAGCAGAGAGAACAAGCTACGCCCATGCTCATCAACAGGTTGGCACAGTGGTTTTCAACCATGGTCCATGAAGCTGCGGTTTCCCATTCTCACTGAACTGATCAGCACTGATCAGAACTCAGCAGCTGCTGCAGTGGGTGGCGGGGCGGACCCCTGCACTTCCACGGCTGACGACAACTCTTACACACACTTCAGCAGATCTTTGAGAGGACTGCCTACAACGTGACTATGGGCTGGATTTGTGTCGGAGCAACATGGCACAGAATGATCAGATTCAGGCAATCTGAGGGTATTTACATCCAACGGCAGCTCTCACCTCCACTCGGAAAGCGAGGTGGACAACTAAGTAGCAGCACATCAATACATTATGTATCCATAAAGAAAAACAATGGAGACAGACGGACTCATCGACATCCAAATTGCCACACAGGTAAACCCCGCAGTGGTTCAGAAGTGCACTTATTGCTGAACAATCAAGAGACTCTGTGGGATTTCTTTGAGCAAATCACTGTCTGGCAGGTCGAATTTACTGGATGTGTTCATTATTGACGGTTTTACACTTGCGTTTAAACTGAATCTAATAATGGATTTGTTTTTGGACTTGTGTTGACAAGTGCTTTCAGTGGACACAAGCAAATCTGTAAAATAAGATCAAATGGGTTTAGATGTATGGCAATTTCAGCAACAGGACGAACACTTGACTGAAACAAAGTGTTAAATCAGGTGCTACATATATTTTTTTTTGTCCTTTAGATAGACATCATTGTAATCAAATATATATACATGGATAT